GCTGGTGGTCCATATCTCATATATATAGGGTGAGGAGTGTATGGCTAGATGAGAGAGAAAATAAAGGAGCATGTTCTAGAGAGAAGAATAGTGTGTGTGAGAGAATCTTATGTTTTGGAGCATCATTCATACTATTGAATACATCATTAGATTCATCTTAATCCTTTTTCTTCTTCTCTTATACTTGATCTGACATCATTCAATTAATTGGGATTCCGCGCCATCAATTGGAACTTATTGATACATAAGCAATTTTGGGGACTTATAATTGAGTGATGCTCCATATACATAGAAAACATTAGACAATTAAAAAAATTCCAAAAATGCAAATATCTTCTCAAAATAAGATCAAATAAGCTCTAGATCTGACAAAATTGATTCATACAATCCAGGCTTTAATACCAATTGTAAGTTACCAAAATTGCTTGTGTATCAGTCAGATCCAACTGATGATGCGGAATCCCAATCAATTGGATGATGTCAGATCAAGTATAAGAGAAGAAGAAGAAGAATTAAGATGAATCTAATGATGTATTCAACAATATGAATGATACTCCAACACATAAGATTCTCTCACACACACTATTCTTCTCTCTAGAACATGCTCCTCTTTTTTCTCTCTTTTCTAGCCATACACTCCTCACCCTATATATACGAGACATGGGCCACCAGCTGCACACGCGTGTGCGGTCGTACACAGGGTGTGTGGCCGCACACACATGTGTAGTCGTACACAACCAAAAAATTATAGAAAAATATATTTTCTTAGAAAAACAAAGTATAAACCATATTTTTGACCAAACTATATATATATATATATATATATATATATATATATATATATATATATAGAGAGAGAGAGAGAGAGAGAGAGAGAGAGAGAGAGAGAGAGAAAGAGAGAGAGAGAGAAAGATTCAACGTTAGAGATTGACATGTGGCTTTTTAATTTTAAAATTTGAAAAAAAAAACAATAAATTCACATGTTGATATTATTTATTTAAAAAAATATCACAAAACTATAAGTGTCAAAACTGATTAAAAATTGATATGTGGGAAAAAATATTTCATTTATTAGAAAAGATTTATTAAATTTGATACTTTACATATATAACTATAAGATTATGTGGCTTTTTAATTTTTAAAATTAAAAAAAAAATCATAAATTGACATGTAGATATTATTTATTTAGAAAATATCATAAAATGATAAGTGTCAAAACTTATTAGAGATTGATATGTAGCAAAAAAAAGGTTTCATTTATTATATATATATATATATATATATATATATATATATATATATATATATATATATATTGGCACTTTCCATGAAAATATAAAATTCAGAAAATATCAAAATTCCAAAATGCAAATCATTAGATGTTATGTTGTAATAAAACAAAAAAATAATAATAACTATAAGTTGGGCATCTTAAGCACATGGTCAAGTGTTTGTTTTGAATGAATCATAAACATAAAGGAATTTTATGGAAGGAAGAGAATTCCTTTGCAGAAAAATTCCAAATAAAATATTTTCTGCTTTATATGTCTTCTAGTCTTTGTACCCTCAAGTTCAGGAATCCACCTCAAATCACCCCATGTATGATAGCTATACAGAAATGTGACGCATTTATGTGTAAAACAACACAAATTATCGTCGATCCATTTTATTTAAATAAAATGTGTTGAAGATTATTTCTTGTTATTTTATGAGCTATTGAGCACATTGATAAATTATTTATATATTGTAAAACTTCTAATCATTTTTATTTCATTTTTCTCAAACGGACACGCGACTTTCAAAATATTCTATCGTTTCAAATTTCTGAACTATTTTATCTGAAAAGTTGTCAAGGAATGTTTGAAATGGCGAAATTTTTGAATAAATTGTAAAAGTGGTTTTCAAATGGAAGAAATACTTTTGAAATATGTGTATTTTTGAATTAATAATTGTATATTATTTATTTTTATTAATTATTTAAATTGAGATGGAAAATACGTCCAAACTAGTGTCGTAAGATGTAATATACTTAATCTGAAACGGTAATGAATACAAACGTTACTTGAAAAATGATTTATAAGAACGATGGAGATGAATTTCAAATTAATATTTTGTATCTTCAACGGATGATCATACACGAATTTACACATTTAAATATGTATAAACAAGAATAATTTAGAAAAATATTTAGCGTGCTATATTCTGAATTTAGCTTGTTTTACCAACCAATCTATCTTGTTTAATAAACAAAATCTAAAAATGTCATGTATCTATATATTTTCTAATAAATATATTCAACATGTATCATTTTTCTATGCTTTTTTTCTTTTCAAAATTTCAGTTTGTTTTATAACATATCAAGTTATGAACTTCGATTTAAAATTTATTAAAAAAAAAAAAACAAAATCCTAAGCTAATAGAATAACATTTCAGAAATTATTGGAAAATAATTTTTGGAAATACTAAAAAAATATCTTAAATGGTAATATATCTTACCAACTAACTGTGGATACATTACAAAATGGTTTGTAGCCCAACGATATCAGGTGTTGCTAACATAGGAATAGATTAGATTTTACCAGTTAAAAAAAATAAAAAAAAAAAAAAAAAAAAAAAAAGTGGATACATTATCCAATTTACCTTATTACCTCATCCTCCATTTAATATATATATATATATATATATATATATATATATATATATATATATATATATATATATATATATATAGGAAAAATGAATATATCTTTAAGGGTATATAAGTTTAGGTACCCAAACTCATCATACTAGATAATTTTGTATCATATATATACATTGTAATTGTCTAATATTCTTATAATTGAACTTCTAACTTGATTTACTTCTATGATTTTTATAAATTTCACATTTATTTTTATCCTATATAATTTTCATATTCAATATAGTATATATAGTCTGGTAGGTGTTCGGTAAAAATATGTAATATTAGAAGAATATAATAGTGAAATTTCGAAAATATTAAAGGTAAATCAACTTATGGGTTAATGTATAAGAACATTATAATAAATATATCAAATAAAACGACGTATTTTGGTTGGTTGGGTACCTAAGCTTATATACCCTCAAGGGTACATTCACTTTTTCATCTATATATATATATATATATATATATATATATATATATATATATATATATATATATATATATATATATATATATATATATATATATAGGTTAATGTGAGACGGCCTAATTTTGTGAGACCATAAGACACATTTTTTTATTTTTATTTATTTATTTTTTATTTTTTTAGTTAATTCAAATTTCGAAAATAATATTTAAAGAAAAGAATTTTCAGATTTTTTCATTTAATTTGCATTTTAAAATTATTTTTTAGAATATGTACAGTGTAATATTCTATTAGAATATTTCACGTATTTAAAAAAAAACGAGATTTTTTTCAATTTTTATTTTATTTTTGTTTTAGTTAATTCAAGTTCCGAAAATAATATTTAAAAAACATAAGTTTTGGATTTTTCCATTTATTTTGCATTTTAAAATTAGTTTTAGATTTGTTTTCACGATCTCACAAAATTAGAATAAACTCAAATACACCTAAACCTATATATATATATATATATATATATATATATATATATATATATATATATATATATATATATATATATATATATATATATATATATATATTATCGGTCATTAGCGACTTCATCTCCCAACAACCAATGCCTCTATCTCATACCTTTATCTCGTTTTTCTCTCTTAACTAGCCCCATATATATATATATATATATATATATATATATATATATATATATATATATATATATATACTAGTGAATTTCTAAGGACCGTGCTGAGCACGGTCCATGAAGGGTAATTTTAGAATTTTAAGAACAATGTGCAATGTATTATCTTAAAAGGTTTCAATTAATAAATTAAGTTTTGTTGATTTAGATGTTTGGAAGTTGATTAAAGGTATATATGCATATTGTTTACAAAATCAGATAAAATATAAAAATTACAGTTAAAATGCATATAAATTGAAAATGGTATATAACTAATATTTACAAAAAAAATATATTTTGTATGGTAATCATTTATACATATAATAAGGAAACTGATTCATTAGAAACTTATACAATACATACAATGCAGACTATAAGAAGCTGCTATCAAAAGTAATGGCCTATATACACCAAAAGAAGCTACGCCATTAATTGCGGTTACTTAATATTTACATTGTTAAGTACCCAAAAAACTTGTTTACCATCTTGCAAAAAAAACATGTCTTTGGGACAACGAACTTTCGATAACAGAATCCTAAGATAATACCTTTCGCCTTCACTTGGATGAGCAATAACAATGCGACCTATTGAATCACCTATTTGCCTAGGTGACCACATCTTCTCGCCTAGTTTCCACACAAAGTGATCTGGAAACTGAGAATATGTAAGATTAAGTTTCTGTGCTAATTTATTTCTAGTATTCTCAACGAAGTACTCAGTTAACATGGTTTTTTTTTTTGGCAGGATTATTCAAAACATTAATCAAACGTTCTTTTCTTTTAAAAGTCAATGGTTGATAGTTTTCTAGATGAAGTGGCAAATGGATAAGAGCCGGCTTAATTTCACCTAAAGAGAACTTAAAAATTCGCCAAGCACCTTCAGGAGGAGAAACCCACCTACCTGATTGATACTGGTCAATTTCATTTAAAAGTGTATGATTATTATCTGAAGAAACATTGAAACTTATTCTATCACAACCTTTGCATATGTATTTATATATATACTTGACAGCCTTTATTGTAGAGCAAATTTCTATATTAATATGACAGTCGAACTTAGAAAGCAAATAGGCGTTATAGGGAATAACCCACCTATTATCAAGTATAACACCTCTAACCTTAACCTTAGAGCCATTGTCCCGCCTGCGATATATAGGATATGCATCGTCAGTTTGACTTGTCTCAGAAGAAAATTTTTTGCGATACAAATTTTTACAGACAACTTTTTTTCATACAAACATTTGAAGGATTAAGAAGACCACAAGGGCCATGAAGCATATGCTTTACTACCATACGATATAAATGAGGATTAACACTCTTATCAGGTATCTCTGCATACACAATTCTATCATACTCTTCGGTAGTATACATCTTAAAGTTAGGCTTCAATATAATAAGAAAGTGTGCATGTGGAAGCCCTCTTTTTTGAAATTCGATAACGTAAGTAGAAGCAGCTACATCTCCAAATATATGATTCTTAAAAACTTCATGTTTAAGTTGTTCAAGTTTAGCATGAAAAACTCTAACAATCCAATCAGTCCTGTTCTGTGCCTCTTCATGAACACTAAGATTTTGCTTTATTTCAGGCCAATTAGGGTTACATGTTACGGTTAAAAAAATATCAGGTTTTCCAAACTTTTGAACCAATGCCATAGCATCCACATATTTTTGCCTCATATTTCTAGGGCCACCAATAAAATTAGCAGGCAAAACTATTCGTTTACCGACAGCCGAACCCTCAGTTTCCCCACTTGCCATGGCATCTACAATTCCTTGATGAAATTCTTGTCGTATTTCCTCTTGTTGTGGTCTATGGAAGTCTAATCGTTGTGTTTCTAATTTAACAAAATTGTCAACTATATACTGTTGTAATAATCTACCAAAGTATAATAAAAGGATTTATCATGAGGTCTAATCTGAAGCTTGTAAGCATAATATTCTCTAACAGATACAAACCTACTACTTTCAGCATTTTTTCCCAACACTGAAAAAAAAAATATTCAAAATGCAAGAAAAAGTAAGATAGAAATTTTAAAAAGCACCACCGTACCTTTTTCCATTTGCAATAAGCTTTCAGCATTTGCTATACTTCCGGGAGCAATGAGTTTGGCCGACGTAGAGACTATAGAATATCCACTATAATCGTCAAAACTTTTTTTTTTATAATACCCTGATGCCAACCCAACTCCCCAAACGGAAACATCAACGGATACTGCAAAGGATCATAACATCCATAAAAATATTTAATACTTTTAGACTGATCAGAATGCATTTGAACTTCAATATCTCTTGGACCATATTCCTCATTCTCCTGACTCTCAACCCAAATAACTGCAACCTGTGACACATGTGGCTTATTATACACTCTTTGATCTTGAGTAGAAATAGTCTTAAGAACTATCTTATAGTCATGAAAATCAGGAACATCTCTCAGACTCCGGAAGAAAAAAGCATATGGATTATGTTTAAGATAATCTACACATTTTTCAGTTTGCAATTTAGACATTCGATGAGTAACCAACAAACGATTTTCTATTTCATTATCAGTATCATGAAAATAAAGCTGCAAATTTTTATCACGATTACCTTGAGGACATAAATCATTTACAAAATGATAAACTTGACCTTGAACTCTAAAAGTATATATTCCTTTATCTCTCTTATTAAAGTTAATATCTTATGTAACACCTAAAGAGGTAAAAGCAAAATGATTATTGTATGTCCTAATATAATTTCTAAAATGCTTCGCCTCCTCAGACATTGAAGTTAAAAGATCTTGCATAACAATTGGAAGAACATTATTTGATAAAACAATACGACCAGTTAAACAACAAAACTCAGAAGTCTCTGTATAAAATTTAACAGCACCACAATGGGGACAATCACTAACAACAGGCAAACAGGTAGCAGCCGAAGGAATAATCTGTAACAAATCTCTACCTGATGTATTAGAAGAAATTTTCCTCTTGCATCTATTATTTTTAGGCTCCAAAACAAAATTTGGATTGTAACGTTGGCGCTTCTTAATTTTTTTTTTTCTTTCCACCTTAGAATAGCACGCTTTCTGTACTCTTTCTTATTAAGAACATTATTAAAATCTGTAGTTTCCGCATGGAAAACTAAATTTCTTACATCATAGACCGAATTCATTTCAACCTCCACATAGTAATCTTTTACACCTTATATATATACCTACAGAGAAAAAAAAACAAATAATTTCCCACATAAAAATCTATTGCATTAAGGAATGTTATTATTATCGTGATATTAATTGGTATGAGTAATATATTTGAAAGGTGATCAATTATTGTTGTGAAAATGCATAGACATATAACGAGCTTTTTTTGTTAATAATTTGACTTCCACCAGAGTGATTATGAAAGTAATGCTTTGATGTATTTCTTTTTTTGATCCTTCAAATCCAAAGTGTGTTAAACATAACCTACAAATGAAAAAAAATAATGAATTATGTGTAATCATTGCAATGGTTATAATAGGGCAGGCAGTGTTTTAGATAAAAGGTTTCTATTTAGTGAGCGAAAATGAAATTGCAATTAATTAGAGCACATCTACAAATCAATGTGTTCCTAAATAAGAATTTTCTTTCAGGCCTTTCTACAAACATGTTATGGGAAACCAATAAGAAAGGTGCTATTTTGAAATATGATGATCAATGCATCTATTACAACTTATCTACAATAACATCCACTGATATTTTATAGTTCAGAAAAAAAAATTTAAAAATTCAATGAAAGAAAATAAAACAATTATTGTTTAAATGCTACAACAAGAATTAGTGTATCCCAACATATAGTAAAAAATCATAGATAAAACGAAAGCACTTCAAATTATTTTATAACCACATGCAATTTGAATTATTGTAGAAAGAACCTACATGTGCGTTAAAAATAGAAAAGAACCATAAAATTGTTATTTGTATAGATAAAAGTAATTGAAAAATCATAGATAAATTGTAAAATTTAATTAACAAACAAACCATAGAAAAACATGTAAAATAAAATAACATCAGATGAGCTTTGTACTTACATTCCGTTGTGGATGCAGGCATTATACTTTATCAGTCGGTCTAAATGATAGTTTCAGCATCAGTTAACATTTTGGGTCCTTTGCTAATACCAAAGATGAAGGTTGTCTGAAACATGGAAAATAAGTAGTTGATATAAGAATTCATGCTACTGACATGTTTTTATTTTTAATTCTATTATTTGTCATAAAGTTCAATACCATTTATTTTATGAAAGGGAATATTGTACATGTTTTTATTTTTAATTCTATTAATTATCATAAAGTTCAATACCAATTTATTTTATAAAAGGGAATATTGTATAATGGGTTGTTTAGATGACTTTTTGGCTACAATTGGTGAAGGTGTGATTATTGGTAGTGCTAAAGGAGGAGGTTGGTGAGTAGGTGGAGATTCGGCTAGCCACAGAGCTTACAACTGTTATGCTTACAACTGTTATGCTTTATGTTAAGGATATTGAAATCGATGAAAATAAGATTCATAAAGAATGAGCCGAAAGATTGACAATACCATACATAAGTTGAATTGAACTCACCACACAGTTGGATGAGAAATCAACCTAAAATACAGCTGATGGAACAACATTTTAAAATAGCACAGAATAATGGCCCTTCAAATAGTACTAAAACATCCCGGCATCTGCAACAAAATAGGACCACACCTTTTGTCTTTGAAATAAACACCTTCTGCAATTTATGAATGACACAATAAAATGGGAAATCCTAACCTCTTTAAAATCATTTTAAAATAAAAAGTCTGTATCTTCACCTTTCTCAAATAGTTGTCTATTCTTGAATCCAAGTAAAAACCTGGACAAAACTTTTCCTTTGATAACCTGGATTCAAATGGAGCTCTTTTGGAGAGGTTAAACTATCCACTTCAGAAAAGCAGAACTGTAAGTCCCACGAGATGTGGACACACAATAGAAATGCACCCCCATTTTGTGTAAGCATTTCATCTAACAGTTGCTGTGCAGGTACTATATATGCGTATGATACCTAAAATCAAAAGAGAATCAAGAAAGTCATTTTATATGTAAAATTTTTTAAAAATAAATTTATCTAACAGTCAACAAAAGGGAAGAGTAGGAACAAAATCTGGTCATAATGGTGGATAGTGTGCACTAAGAAATCTAGACAGAGAAAATGGGAAAAATAGATTACCTTAAATCAAGCTTAAAAACAGAGAGATAGACAACAAAAAAAACCTTTTAACTCTGTATGGTGCTCCTCTTGAGGCAGCGCTTTCTTTTTCTTTTGATTTGTCGGCAAAGAGAATTCAGATGACAAGGATTAGGGTGAAACCAAACCGGTATTGACGGGTGAGTAAGGCTATTTGAGGGGAAAGAGAGATAGTCGGCTATTTCAGGTGGCAAAGTCGAGGCAGTTGAGCTCTTAATAGAGGCTGAGTCGGCAAATAGAATCAGAGGAGAGGATGGCAGCTGTAACTCGTTAATACCCAATTGAATTTCCTTCATCCAGAAAACTCCAAAATCATAAGGATCAATTAGGCGTACTCCTGAAACCCGTAATCACCATCCAGCAAAACACTTTATTGCAAAATTAAGAAAGCACAAAGCGTGATTGGAGTAGATTTGAAAAGAGAAAAATAAAGATAAAGCAACCTACCAACCTTTTTCTTCGATGGACGACTTGTGGGGTAGCGATTAATATGCCCTAAATAGAAGAAAAAAACCTTTTAACTGTGTGTTCCTCCTCAGACGGTGTTTCTATGAATAAACATTTGGTTTATTCAAAAATGAATATTAGTCTTCAACTTCTTCGTCTTGTATGCTAGGACTCAGAAAAAGAAAAAGAATGGAGCCTGTCTTCTTTGTCGGTCTAAGTAGGAAAGAAAACCTCTTTCACTTACCAGATAATCAGCTAAATTTGGTCTTATTTGGCAAAATCCTTTGTGTGTGTCGTTAACCTGTTCATCTACGGTCCTAACCCCAACCCCCACCACAACATCTTCAATAAGAAATCAAAAATATGTATTTTGATAGGGGGAGTATATCTTCACCTCGCCACTAAAAGTCTGAAATGCAACCGATGTTCTGTAACACAAAACCATTTTCAGTTTACAACCATAGCAAGTGGTATGACGAACCCTAAACAATTCAACTTGGATTGAAAACCAATAACATATTGAAGGGTGGAAAGGAACTTAAATTAATAAAAAGAAACTTACCAGTTGGTATAACGGACGACAAACCCTGGAAGCAAGCAAGACATATATAGCAATTTAGAACCCAATTGAGGAAGAAATTATGTGGGTACCTGACCTAGGGATCTTGGCAATCGATGAAGAAATTTGACCGATACCCGGTTGAAATTATCTTAAATCCTAAAAAAACAAATAACCACAAACATCAATTACACAAATTATATGCACCTTAAATACAGAATGAAGATGAAGTCGGCCAGAGAGGAAGTCAAATGACGTCGACGTGAAGAGGAAGTCAAGAGGATGACTCGGACGCAGTAAGAGGAGGTGGCGGTAAAAGGAGATCCAAGAGTGGCAATCGGCATCGGGGGAAACAACGCCATCAAGAAGAAAAACCCACTGCTAAGTCTTCTTCCTCTTCATGAGGTCAGGCTGACCGGAAGCAAGCAGGCAGGATGCTTTCATACACAGCCAAACGATGCCGTTTCTGTAATCCCAGTGTCACGTCAGATGTATGGCTGAGAAGAGTTTAAGCAGGCAAACAGCTTACCAACAAATGACAGAGGGATGAGGAGTGGTCGGTGGGAAACCGGGAGTCGACGTAGACACCCTAATCTTACAGAAAAGGGTCTTACGTATAGGTAATTGATATATATATATATATATATATATATATATATATATATATATAGGTTTATATGTGGATAGACAATTTTTGTATGGATGTAAGGTTTAATATGAACCAATAATTTCAAAAAACTTGATACGGGTAAAATTGTAATCTTAAATATTAATTGAATTTGGTAATTAAATAATGAATCATTAATCCCTTTAATTTAGGCAAATTTGTTTATTTATTTAAATCCTTATGCCACCACCACATGTATCATTTCTTCTCCCTCTCTACAGCTGATCGCCTTCTTCCTCTTCTTAACCGTCACTTCTTACTTCTCCTTGCCACTGCTTCCTATACATAATACTAGTGACACCTCATTGCATGGAAGTCTCGGATCTTTATATAAGTGAAGACCATTTTGTTTAACCTCCTCGGGAAGTTAAGAGATTTAATCAATGGATTCATTGCCAGAGGCATCGTTGGTAAGTAATTTGATGAATTTTATTTATATCTTACAAAATAATTCTATTTTTTTTGGCTGGAACATTAATACTTTTTTTATTCAATGTGGTTAATCTTACCGATCTGCATAAGCATGTTTCGGAACACAATATGAAATTGGGTAGACAATTTTGATCTCTTTCATTTGATTACTAAAGTTTAGATGCAGAAAACAATC